CATTGCCCAATGGGCAGTCATGCTATAGTAGTAGTAGTAGTAGTAGTAGTGTGTGTGTGTGTGTGTGTGTGTGTGTGTGTGTGTGTGTGTGTGTGTGTGTGTGTGTGTGTGCGTGCCCGTGTGTGCCATGTGCATGTGCGTGTTTGTCACAATGTGTCTGTGTGCAGGGAGGGCTGGAATGTATCAGTGTGCTACTGCAGTCGCATGGCTACATACAGTGGATCGCGCGCGTGCTCACCATGTTTATCTTCGGAGCAGGGCCGGTTTGGGGGAGGGAACAGAAAAAGAACTGAAATTACCCATATAAAAACCGCTCTGTGAGCGGTTCTGAAAAACCTCTACTGGTGCAGCCCCGTCGTAAAAGTAAGAAATTAGAACTGGCGCATTGTCCTCCCAAGTGTGAACTGATCCACCTAAATCGCGATTGACGGGACCCGAACGCACCAGTAGCACGAGGTCGGGAGGGCACAGGATCACAGCCGGCGTCGGCGCTGATCAAGTTACCATACAACACTTACAGTACCTTTGCCGCTTTGGCTTTGGCTATGGACCAGCGTCCCCAGCTGCATCCACAGGTAGGAACCTCGTGCTACTGGTGCGTTCGGGTCCCGTCAATCGCGATTTAGGTGGATCAGTTCACACTTGGGAGGACAATGTGCCATTTTTTGCGGGGCTGCACCAGTAGAGGTTTTTCAGAACCGCTCACAGAGCGGTTTTTATATGGGTAATTGACATAAGTTCTCAGTTTCTTGTTGTGAAACAGGATTCAGACATGCGCATTGTGGCGTGTGGTCTCAGTTTCTTGTTGTGAAACAGGATTCAGACATACGCATTGTGGCATGTGGTCTCAGTTTCGTGAAACAGGATTCAGACATGCGCATTGTGGCATGTGGTCTCAGTTTCCGGGATTCGAACCCGTGACTCTCGATTTCTTATCCTGTGTGTAGTAGATTTACCAACCAGGCTATCGGGGTCAAACACATATGGAGTTGTTTATGTCTATTAGTACTGACAAGAGTCCGAATCCGGTGCTGTTGACAGTTAGTAGGTCTACCCCGTGATTTTTTTTTCTACACACAAATCTGCTGCTGTGATCACGGATCACAACCAGCTGAGTTGATCAAACGGGACCCAGCTGTCGAATCTTGCCGAGTAGCCTTTCCACCTCACAAGGGCTTGTTTCTTCTTTTTGTCCTTTCGGAGCACTTTCTCGATCCGGTAGATTTCTTGAGTAGTTTTCTGGAGCTCTTGTTCATAGAACGACCCATCAACGGGTTCACCATCGAGGTCCTTGACAGAGTACGTAGTGGGTCTGGTCGGGAGAATATCGGTGATCCTGAATACCTCCTCAGTCCAGTTCGGAGTGTATCCTTTCTCGAAATGTCGTTTCTGCTTCACCAGTCGGACGTGATCACCTATCTGGAATTTAGTGGACCTGGCTAGTGGAGATTTCTCACCCAGTGAGTCACGGATTCGATCGGCGTTCTTCTCCCGCGATGCCTCAGTTGGTGGCATCCGAACACCTCTGTGTTTTGTCGTGTTGTACTTCTCTACCAAATGTGGAAGGACATCGATGTACCTGCTGGTGGAGTTAGCACTGAAGTATTTCCACATCCTGGTTTTCAGAGTTCGGTTGAAACGCTCAACTACAACAGCCTTTCCTTCGTTGTGAGTGCTGTACATCGTGATCTGATTCTCATCAAGCCAGTGTTTGAACGTTCGATTATAGAACTCGGTACCCTAATCAACCCACAGCTTACGTGGTTTCCTGCTGCTAGTTTTCACGATGGATCGAAATGCTGATTGGATGTCAACACCTTTCTTGGATTCAAGCGGAACAACCCAAGCATATCGGCTGAACAGATCAATGACAGTAAGTAGAAATTTGATTTCATCATTGTATTTACGAAAAGCTGTCATATCCACGAGATCGGCGGACCAGATTTCATCAATCTCACTCACAGTCACTTGTCTCCTTGTGAAATTCACACGCTTTGGTTTGTGTAACTCATCAGCCAGATCGTCCATCCATTTCCTATCAATTTTTTTTACTCCTAAACCTATCATCTTGAACAAACCAGACAGGAATCCACCTTCTTTGATTTCCGATTTCTTGATAAATTGTGAACACGATCGACCACATACGATAGGCAATGAACATTCATCTTTATCTATCTATCTACTTTTTTATTTCTCATGTATACAAAGATGTTTCAACAATCCCATATTTTCACAGTGATCTTCCAAGCTCTCATCAATCTTTTCAGCACAAACAAGTCTGAAATTTCCATTATCCATCTTGTCAAGCTCTGCTTTTGTCAATGATAGAAAAATCTGTGGATTTGTGGTAAATATGTGGATGTTAATCGTGTCATGCTCCTGATCATCTTTCGTGAGTTCCAAACTCACCCCCAGAATATTTCCACGGAAATGTGGAATGTTGGAGAGAGAGTATCCAAACCCAACTGTCCCACGGCAGATTATGTGGTACATTTTCATGTTTTTCTATCTATCTTTTTTCTTTCTTTCCACCCATATCACCAATTATGTTATCTAAACTGTTCATACTATAGGGTAAGATCCAACAAGTTTGATAGAATTTGTAAAATCAATTACCTACAACGATGGCTACGTCTTTTCCAAGTGACTATTTCTCCTATGAGGACTTTGACTATGAACCTGATACTCCTGATTGTGGTGATCCTTGGGAGGATATGGAATCATTTAATCACATTGATGTAAGTGAAGATGAGATAATTGATAGAATAATGATGGATGATTCAATGACCAGTGATTTATTTGATGATGTGTTTGAAAATGCTCTTGAGGAACAAAGGAATATCATCCCAAGCATTTTCCTGAGAATTTGTGAAAATCCAAAGTATGGAGGAATTTGTAGTTCCTACACCAACAATCACCTGTTAGAGAAGTTTCAGGATGATATTGATGAATATTTGTAAGAAAAATAGAAGAGAGAAAGAAAAGAGAAGAGAAGAGAAAAGAGGTGATCAACTCTCCTCTTTTTTTTCTACACCAAATTATCATCATAAAGGGTTATTTGAATCCTGTTGTATAGAAGTATACCGATGAGAATTCCAAAGATTTTCTATCAGCAAAGATGACTTCCCCTTGTAAGATTTACAAACTTGTGAGCCAACACACCGATCAGGTATACGTTGGCTCCACTTCTCTACCACTGAAAAATCGGATGTACTGTCACCGATCAGCTTACAAAGCCTACCAAAAAGGTGAACGGGGTTTTATGACCTCATTCATTCTACTTGATCTCGGACATGTAGAAATTGTCCAGATCGACTCTCTGTCAATGTTTGATGAAGATGAGCTTAAGAGGAGAGAACTATACTGGATCGAAAAACTGGATACCGTGAATAAAAACAAGCCTGGAAAATCAGCATCAGAGTGGTATCAAGATAATCACAAGAAAATCAGACAAAATGCCAATGAAAGAGTTGTCTGTGAGAAATGTGAGAAGTCTTATCCAAGAAATCACAAATCCCATCATGAAAAAACGAAATTCCACAAGCTCCGTGAATGATAAAATTGATAATGCTTATACAATGAATATCAAAACAAAAAAAATTTGTTGTGTTTTTCTTTATTTATCTTTTTTTATCTACCTCTTTTTTCTTTTTCTTTTTACAATACCAACTGCTCATTTTCTTGACTGGGGTGCTGAGTGAAATCCAACAAGACATCAAGAGCACTTCTGCCTTTGCTTCTTTCTTCTATGAAATGTATACAGTAGTATCCACACAGGACACTATCATTCATCTGTATCTTTGATGAGTTATACCAACATTTTTTATGGTGCTTCTTCATCCACCCAACTACCTCCTCTGGTGGTGATAAGCCAAAGCTGTCAAAATATTCATTACCAAACACACAAACCCAGTGAGTACCACCACCATCCAAGAAATCTTGAAGATTGATTATCAAACAATCCTTTGATGATAGAGGTGGTGGAAGCTGATCTTTGCTAAAAGTTCCTCTGAAATGTGGAATAGATCTCAGAATTTCATCAATGTCAAAGTTGGTCAGGGGTCTCACGTTCCCGGTAGACGCAATCCCTTTCCTTTTTGGTCTTTTTTTACCCCTCTACCCCTCCGTGTTCCGGGAAGTTGTAATCCTTCACCAGTGTTTCCAAAACCTATCATTTTTCCTAGAGCTGGTGCTAATAATCCAGCTGCTAATGCTCCGAGAAACCCACCTTGCTTCTTGAGTTGAGTACTGGATAACTTGAGATCCATTCCTACTCCTTTTTGCTTGGATTTTTTGATTTTGGTAACCTGTCGGTTTGTGAGCAAAAGTGTAGTATCCCTGCCCGACCAATACGGAAGTAGTGCGGAACTAATACGGAGCTTTGCCTGATTTAGTGTATCTCCGTATGTAAGCGTACGGCGTCTGCTGCATAAAAGCGGCTGCGCATTTCTGTTTTGATGAAGATGAGATTTTGATAATAACGAGCTATTCAACCTCCAGGTTTGCACCGGAGAGAAAGTTATTTTCCCGCTTCTTCTTTCACTAATAATTATATCTCAGGTGTGTACCTGAAAGAAGTAGAATAAAAGTAATTCTTGTTGATTTCACCGCGCCTACCACTCGGCTACCCATTACAAAAGCATATCATTTCCGGATAACTGATTTTTTGTTAACCGGAGTGTGATTCCATCCTGAACACTACCAAGTTTCTTCTTTTGGTTCGGAGTTAGCATCAATCCATATTCTACATACTGATTCCCCGACCAGCTGTGGCTCTGTGTGTGCTTCCAGAAATAGCACCAGAAATACCAGCCAGTCCTAATGTACCAAGGATGTTGGGAGCATGCTTGATCACAAGTGGAGATATCTTCCCAACCAATCTTCCGATCACAGAACCGATACTACCACCTTTCTTCTGTGTTAGTTCCTTTGTTAATAAAATCTCAATGTCCTCATCCAACTCATTCATGGTTCCTATCTACTATTATCTACTATTACTATTATCTTTTTTCTTGCACCACAACACTCATTTTGCCATTCATACCATTGAGTTTGAGATGACGTTCGGAGAGAATCAAACAGATGGTTTGGTAAGAAGCAGCTGTACCAGTGGGAAACTCAAACGGTTTTCCAAGTCTCCATCGAAGTTCGATATCAGCAGAGCTGTTCCTCAGCTTCTCCTTATGCTTACTCACATCTACATGAATGATGGTGTACAAAGAGGCAAAATCCTCCACACTTACCTGACTTCCACTGTCTGTGTCAGCATATTTTTGGATGGCTTCTTGGAAAAGCATGTATGCTCTTGTATAACTCCGAGTAGCTGGACTGAAATTCATATCCAAATCACGTTCTGGGAATCTATCGCTGTTGATGTACACAGACAAGCTTCTGAGGTCAGCATTATCGAAAACCTGGTTGTTCTGTTCTTCATTCCCACTTCGATTGGCTGCTTGGATGGCAAAGAAGATATGAGTTGGGAGTTCCTCATTGCTGCGAGTAGTCACTCTCCAGGATGGGTTTGTCTCCGTTGATCCATACTGATTTCTATAAACCCGGACTTGCTCGAAGTACAGATCTCGGAGGGTGGACTTAACCAACTTACTTTCAATCTTACTAGCTAGTTGGAGTGATGGTCTCCCCTTTGGTATCCACAAAGAAAGATGTTTGATGTCAAACCTTCCTGGATCAACACCATTTGCTCTGTGAATGTAGTTGGCTGATGATTCTCTGGTAAGATTGAGTGTATGCTTGACTCCCATGAATACCGTATCAATATCTTTACTAAAACCCAACAGTGATGATAAAGGAAGCAACATGGTTGTATCCTTATTTCCAGTCGTGATGAGTTGTCGGGCTCTGAATCCGGTATTGTAAGCAGGATTCTTTAGAGCTCCTGTCTGAAAATTATCTCTGAAATTTTTTCCAGTAAGTGCTGTTACGTCTGTGATAGGATTTACTGGCAACAATGCACCTGAATCCCTAAACTCATTAGGAGATGCTTGTCCAGTTCCTGGGTCCTTGTACCAGAGCATGATGGTAGCAGAACTTCTCCCATAATCATCACTAAACTGGACTAGATTGAGAATGGTAGAAGCTTGTGGTACATGACTATCAACTTTCTCTACCATATTGTTGTCAAGTTGATACTCAACAGTCTTGAAGAGTGACCAACCGTTGTTGGAAAGAGTGATGATATCATCAGGATCATAATTGGAGTCATCTGCTGCTTTGACGAGACGTCCACGAACCTCAAGCAGTGCTTTGTGAGGAAGGAGATACTCATCAAGATCCTTGGTTTCTATGATATGCTGATCTTTATTCATGTCATTGCTGTTCCTGGGTAGATATTCTATATACTCATACTCAGTTGTTGATTCATCCTTTGGCGGGTCTGTGAAAAGATCGAAATGTGGACTTGTGTAAGAGGCCATGGTTTCTACCTATATATTTTTTCTTTTTTTTCTACAACCTTTTCATTCCTGAACCAGCAATGATGTTTGATAGGATAGATCTCTGATTATCTTGGAGAAGCTCTTTACTCTTATCCAACAAAACTCGTTTGATGTCCTTGTTGTTTGATAATTGATTGATGGTATCTCTAACATGTGGATTGATAGCTTTGTCTTTACCAATAGTAGTAGCAAGCTGCTTTGCCTCTTTCTTTACTTTCATATTTACTGCTTTTCTGTCACCCTTAGCAAGATCTTTTGCCAAATCAAAGACCATGTCTGGAGTGATCTGCTCTTTTGCTGCTTCCAAAGCTTTCTGAGCTGTCATTTTTCCTATGGATTTGACCTTTGGTGCTAAGATTTTGCTGGTGTTGTATAGTACACCTTTGGCTTTGTTGTACAGATTTCCAAGAAGACTTCCGCCGATAACCTTTTGTCTGGTAAGCTGGTTTCGTTTCAAGAACATAATGTCATCTATCTAGTCTTATTTTCTTTCCCGGAGATGAAGACTGAACGTGGTTCTTTCATTGTTGAGGTTCAGTTCCTTTCCATCTTGATCAGTTATCCTCATTATTATATCTGATATTCTGTCAGTTTTCGTCAATGGTAAAAACGTCTTCTCATTCGGTTGGATGTTGAGTTGGAATCCAGGAGGCATATCCGGTGAAAAGGAGTAAATGACATCACCAGTTCTACCATTGAGATATGCCTCACTTACCAAGCTACAGTGAATGAGGATGTTGTGAGTGTCAGTGATATTCACAATGAAGTCAGATGTAGAAATTGTATCAACCAGTTTCTTTGAAAATCCGAGCACAGGAGCAAGTGATGACGGGATGTCAAAGTCAACCTTGTATCCATGTTTGAGGTAAATTTCACTGTGTAGAGGATTGAAGTTTGGCTCAATCGTTATCCCGTCCTCATTTTCGATTTTTCTCTGGATATATCGATTGATGTCAGGCACGTTGTAAGCACCTCTTGGAATGATAAGAGTTTTCCTGGCTTTCCCATCAAAAATCCGAATTTGGTTGTTTGTGGTGTTGATGTTGAACCAACTATACCAGATGGTAGAATTGATCAGAGCAATTTCATAGGTCTTCTTTTCATCAAGTAGTAATGGAGGGTTGAAAGATGCTTGAAAGTTTTGACTTGTCCCTGTGATTTGTGAACTGTGACTGTCAAAAAATAGAATGGTTTCCATGGTTCTATCTATACATAAGATTTATAGATCTTCTTGTATTCACTCTTTTTTATCACTTTATCATTCAACAAACGGTCCAAGATCTCAACTAGTTCGTTAATGACTTTCTTTGATGTATTTCCTGCTTCTTGGGAAGCGCAAAGTAAACCCAGTCTGTTTACTAACTCATCATGTGATTTGTAAAATCTGATTCCACTTCCTTATTATTATTATTTTGCTTGTTCGCGTTGGCATCAACCTGCATAAAGCAGGTATATAGCCTTCGCTTAAGCTGCCATAAAAAAGAAAGCTCATCCTAAGCGAGAGGGCTAGAGGGAAATATAACGATAACGAGATACAGAATACAAAGAAATCCAATGAGTTCAACGTACAATTCAAAACAAGAAAGAAAGGAAAGAAAAACAGAGCCGAATCTACCGATTGATCCATCAATCGACAAAGGGGACTAATCCGTTAGTGTTGCAAAGTAGAAGCTGATTATAGTTGCAGATCTCCAGGCCAGGGCCAGCATATTGCCGATTCTGGATAGGTCTCCGCAGCATTTGATGTGGCAATTATCATAATGTTTGATAAAATTGTTAGAGTATCTAGTATCTAGAGTACCAAGTATCTAGTATCTAGAGTATCTAGTGTAATTGTATCCGTTATTATTGTTAAGGGTATCTAGTGTAATTGTATCCGTTATTATTATTAAGGGTATCTAGTGTAATTGTATAACTTCAGCCATTACACACAGCACACATTAGTTCCTTCCACTTTGGACGATCCTGGGCGAGCTGCCTCAGTGCAACTAGATCCTCGTGTGATGTGAGGGAGTTTGTGGATCTGGAATTTTTCAGGTCGTTGTTGATGGATCGCGGGAGTGTTGTTCTCGGGCGGCCTCGGAACCCTGAGCTTTCTGGCTGAAAGTATGCTGACATAGCCTGCTGGACCGGGGATGAGGTGTCTAGTCGAAGCATGTGGCCAAACATTCTCCACCTAGCAGACTGGATGATTCTGCTGAGTGAAAATCTCCTTCTGAGAAATCTGATTCTGGTGATGGTTGTCGATGTAACCAAAACAATTCTGGACTTTTACCTTCAACATATCTGTATGCTTTCCCTGGCTTAGTGGACCGTGGTGAATCAAAATCATTAAACCTAACTGCTTGATCTGCTTTCGAAACTGGACTTGAAAGTTCTGGACTTTTTGGATTGATACCTTTCTTTTTGTCTCTTCTCTTTTTCTTAGTGGACTGTGGTGATGTTTGAGTTGCTTGGTCTGCTTTCGTAACTTGTACTGGTTTCGCTCTACTACTACTTTTAGAATTGATCATGAATTCTATATATTTCCTCACCTTGTCTATGGAATTTATCACATGTTTCATGTTTCCATCTTTATTACTTGCTGAACTAGAGCGCAGTTGTGCCCCTCTTATTATTTCAAGAATATAATTCATTTCTTTCAAGTCCTCACCTTCTTTGATCTCTCCTGCTGGTGATATTGGATGATTGCTCCCCCTATACTCATTGATGAGGTCAATATCATCCTGGTTGAATGATTTATAAGTCTCAGTAATGAAAGAAGAAGTTCTACCATCCAATGGTTCAGGAGTGCTACTTCGGATGGGTTTGATGAATGAACCCACCACGGATGGAATTTGATGGAGGGCTGATGTGATTGCTGCTTGGTTAGTCTGAAGTTGTCCAAGGAGCGCATCCTGCCGTTTATCGTATTCCTCACTTTGTTTGGTTAAATTTTTAACAACAGGTTTTTGAAACTCTTCTACAAACTCCTCCTGCTGTTGCTTGCCTATCTTTTTTTCCAGTTGACGTTGCTTGAGAATTTCTCGATTTTTGAGAAAGGTGTCAATGACTTCCTTCCGATGTTCAGGATTTTCTACTTGAGTAAAATGTGGCATGCTTATCTACCAATACCTTTTTTTCTTCTCACTTCTCCAAGAACCTATCGAATCCACATCGGTACATCTCTGGCTGATATGTTGCTGTTTTATCAAGCATGAAAAATGAATGTGGTTTCTCTGTTGCCATTTCATAGGCCTCCGCAAACTCGGTTTACTTAAGATTTTTGGAGTGATCATGTGCTAGACATTGGACATCTCTGTTGTCTAACCCCTTGTACAGGAGGAAGCACTTGGTATTCCTCCGGATATATTTCGGTACATCATAGTATGATTGACAAAGATTTATACAGTTACATTTCTTGTTCCGAGAAAGACTGAAGTATTCCATCACTTTTGTCATGTGCTTTTTATCAATCTTGATGTCATCAAAAATTATCACCCTATTTTCCTGATCATCGAGATCCTCCACTGGACAAACCTTGTCTGGTTGTTCAATGATAAGTTTACCAGGAGATATTCCATTGTAAAACCCATCAAGAAGTTGATATTTTGGTTGTTGAGGATTTCTTGTGTAAAGAATGACCTTATCACAGTTCAACCATGATTGTAGAAGCATATTACACAGGGTGTTTGTCTTCCCACACCCCGTTTGTCCAATCATCATGTAGTGACAATCAGGAAGCAAGTAGTGATGCTTTGTTGGTTTCTCCTTGTGCTCATCAAAGTTGATCATTTCCATGGTTTGTATCTACAAAGGATCATTTTTTATTGTTCCAACGCTCTTAAGAAAAAGAAGAAAAAAATATAGATAAGGAAGATGAGTTCAAAATTTGGAACAGCTTTGGGAGCTAATTCGATCAATCTTGATTCCTATGCCAAAAAGAGGGAGTTATTTGTCGTCAGTGAAGAAAAGCTGGATAAAGCTGGTGGAGATGTGAATGGACATATTGACATGAACTATCATAGAATTTGTCATCTTGGGTATGATGGAGTGAGTTCCACTTGTGCGGCAGCAACTGGGTGGGTTACAAGTGAGATAGGAAAAGTGAATACTTCATTTGGAAAGCATGTTGATGATGATGAAACACGGCTGATGGTGAGTGGTACACTGAAAATGAAAGGAAATCTTGACATGGGTGGAATGGAAATTGTAAATGTGAAGCAACCATCAACAAGTACATCTGTGGTAACATCACAATATCTCAACACAGCACAAAGACAGACTCTCTGGACGAGTGGACTCAACGAGATGAAAGGAAATCTTAACATGGGGTTGAAACACACCATCAATCTCCGAGACTCAACAGAGGATGACTCAGCAACAACAAAGGAGTATGTTGACAGAAAGGATGGAAAGGTGAAAGTCAAAAAAATGAAGAATATCATCCCGAGCTCATATACCACTCCACCAGAAGCCACACTTCATGTCTTTCCTATTTACAAAAGTCCAACCAACAAACTGATTGTCATTGAGGATCTCTTCATAGTCGGTCAAGAAACAAGTGGTAGCAGAAGACGTTTTCATGTATCATATCGAGATGTGTTGGGAGAAAAAGCGGTAATCCGATACATTACTGAACATGATATAACAACGGCATATCTGACCTTCATCAACAACACATTGACATTACCAACTGTGAGTGGATACAATCTCATTGATGAATGGGAGCTGGTTTATCATGAGTACTGAAAATCTTAACTATATGTAGATAAAAATGGAAATACCACATTTGTTAATACTGTTGACCATGCTACCATTTACTCTTGGTTGTATTCTTGATCCGTTGGATAAGGATGGACTCTGTTTGACAACGAAACCTCCTACTGTCATCCAAAGTGAAAGACCAACTCCGGTTGACATCCCTAGTGAAACACCACCACCAACAGATCATAATTATCACCACACAACCACCTTACGATCAGACGAAACCAGTAAACGGGGATAACCCTCATTTGACAGACCCCAATCTTTATCTTTTATCTCAGATTGTTATTCCTATAGTTGGTGCTGTTGTATATATCATAAAACGTTCCAGCTGTTCGATGAGTGTTGACCCTGAAAATGATCCAAGAAATTTACAACATCAGCCTAGGTTAGAATTTGATCCGATGCCATTACCAGATGTGCTTGGTACGATCAATCTACCAAAATCACCTTCAACCTTTGATGTAACTGGTATAGTCTGATGGAGAAGAAAGAAAACGGTTTATGATAGAGTAAAAATGAAAAAATTTATGATCTTGATAGGAATTGCTTTTCTAGCTCATTGTGTCAGAGTGAATGGGTTGGTAATAAACAAATGTTGGGAAGAAAATTCAATCTGGATTTGTGTTCCGCTTACACATCTTAGTCCACCTATTAATGTACCAGCAGCATCTGTACCACCGACAACACTGATACCACCGACAACACCGATACCACCGACAACACCGACAACACCCATACCACCGACAACACCGATACCACCGACAACACCGACAACACCCATACCACCGACAACACCGACAACACCGATACCACCGACAACACCGATACCACCGTCAACACCGACACCACCAACAACACCGGGAATTACATCGGGAACATCGGAATTTACACCGACAACACCGACAACATCGGGAATTACATCGGGAACATCGGGAATTACATCGGGAATTACATCGGGAACATCGGGAATTACATCGGGAACATCGGGAATTACATCGGGAAGATCGGGAATTACATCGGGAACATCGGGAATATCGACAACATCAACCCTAATGACAACATCGGGAACATTGGGAAAATCAGACAACTTGATTTATCTCCTTTTCCTTCTTCTTCTCATCCCCATTACTGCTATTGTATTTCACAGACAAATAAAAAAAATACTTCCTCCGCGTCATCGAAATTGTCGCAGTTTGACTAGTCATCTCAAACACTTTGAATTTCTCCACAGGACAAGAGCTGCTATGCTTGTCGTCTGCTAGCTCTGGATGATTTCTACTTCACCACCAACGAAGCCTAGTAAGAATACACGATCGTTGCGAGGTCGGTTGATTACCGTCGCCGGAATCACCTCGATCTTGAAATGAACTTTTTTTAGCCGTGGCATGCCCATTTATTTTAGCTGTTTGGTCACAGCTCAGGTAAGTGTACTATCGCGTCCAGCGGGCCCTGTTTTTCAGCATCACTGGTATACCATGGTACGGCACCTGCGCGTGCATCACTAGCACTACTTGTAGAGTCTACACGGCTCTTGCAGGTACAATCATGTTCTGAGTGTCTCAGCCAGAGCAACACATTTTATCGCTGTTGCAGGCATTTAGTTTGCTGACCCCTCAATGTTTCTCCAAGCGCTGCCACTTGTTCCACGAAGTCATTCTCACCCCAGCTAAGGTAAAACAGTGATGAGGCTTGAGTGAATGGCCATAAGCACGAGAAATGTGCAGGCTGCAACGCCTGACTGATCTCCGCGAGTCGAAATTACCATCGCAGCGACATCAGCGAAGAAATTGCGTCTAGTTCAAAAATTCCAGCTTCCAATAACAGAAAATAGAACTTTACCGTCACCCTATACTGTTGACTATCGCCTATATCCCATTCCCTGCCTCTGGTACGAGTGCTGGTGAGTACCCGTTTTATATCAAAAGTCAAACTGCGACAATTTCGATGACGCGGAGGAAGTATCACGGAAGGAAAGATGAAGACCTTCACACTTTCGAAACTACCCACATCATGTAAAGATGATCAGGTTAAAAATATACCTTACATTCCCACAAAAGAAACCCTTGCTGAGGTGCGAGCAGCACTCAACTCAGGATGGAAACCCCCTATTACAAAAAAAAGGTGATGAAAAACAAGAAAATATATATGTGGAAATGATCCATCTCTTAGCAAAACTAAAACAGGAAACAGTTGTGTATGCTGAAAATATATCACGAGAGCTAGAAGATGGGAAATTGGTGGTAAATCATCCGAAGCTTAACCACCCGAAGTTGGCTCAGAAACAGACCCCACATCATCCCTCGAAGTGAGCCAAGATGGGGTAAATGAAAAAGCTCAAGTTGGCTCACTTTCGATTTTCTCGGAGACAGCAAGTTGACTCACTTTTCTGGAACTGGGTTGAGCCAACATGGGATCAGTTGTTGGAGTTGTAAAATTAGTACTTGGAGGTGGAAAATTAGTACTTGGAGTTGTAATATTAGTACTTGGATCTCACACACACATTTCTTACCATAAAGAATAAGAAGTGTATTGAAGGGTTAGAACTAAAGGGTAGGAGAGGGGGGAACTGTATGGCAGACCTATCTCCTGGTAAGAGTCATTATCTCACACGTTCCCCTAGTAGTATAGGGGGAGGGGGAGACTTTGGAGGGAGGCCCGAAGAGCCGATCGAGAAAGTCGATTTTGGACCACCTGGAAGGTGGTCCAGAACCCCCTCCCCCTATACTACTAACATTCAGACCCACTGGAGGCGTTCCACAGCCTGGAGCCCGCCGATAAGGAATTCGATGTGACTTGAGTAAGTACTAAAGTGATCCGAAATATTTCTGGGGTCAGCTATTGAGCCATTGGGAAGTTTCGTGTTGTCGTTTTCTTACATTACAGTCGTAGAAATTTCCTCCCTCCTTTGGTGTTCAGCCCGTAATGGACTCCATCACATCTTACACAATATCCGAGATAGCAGAAAGATAGTCCCAACCAACCTGTGTAAAGATCTGGTCATGTCTATGTCCAGACCTACTGCTAACTCAAATGGCACGAAATGAAAATTTTTTTGTGATACGTGTAAAATCCACGAAAGTGACATTTCATCACACCTAAGTTTCAAAATATCCCAGGTTACAATAGTTTCTCGCCCATATAGCAGCAGATGGATTGTGATTCCGGTATATCACCATTTTCAGTGGAAGTATTGTGTTCCACGTCTATCCATGCTCATTGAAACTCAGGCAAATGTGTATATTTGTGTATTTCAGGTCAGAATTCGTAGCGCATTCCATGTTTCTAGCATATACGCCATAATTCCAGTAAACAATAACACGCACGTATCACCTGTGTGCACATTGACTCAATCTTGGTCCAATTCGTTGCTGGTTTCTTGCTTTTCAGTCTCCTCAAATGAAACAACCTTTTGCTTACTGGAACTGTCGCATTCTTCCCTCGCGGAGGTGTTGTTGAAAGTGTGGCATTTTAGCCCTGGCCTGCATAACAGATTTGCCTTTTGCACTCGCATTGTATGATTCTGCAGCCGGACTTGCATCCACAGCCTTTTGTCAAGCCTGTGACAGGCTGTCTGACTGCTGCAAGATGTTTGTCAGAGCCCTACACCATGACTAGGGGTCATTGGTTCTTCACAATCCCTACCTTGAAGAGGTGGGTAGTTGATAGTATATTTTGTTGCTTAATTTAAGCGATAATCAGAGACAACAATTCCAGTGTAGCTGAATTCCACTTGTAGGTTTTACGGCACCGCCATCCATGGACTCTTGGTACTACGTCGTACTGAAGTTTCACTGTGTGTGGAACCCACCTGTCTGTGTTAGTGTTTTGCTTTGACGTCGCTTCGTCTCAGTTTCTTCCTCAGTGCTTGTTGTGATTGGCATGTGGCAGGCAAATGGCTATGGAACTTCAACTGCGGTACTTGCATCAATTGGGCTAGTGTGACCAGTGGATGGTAGTTGATTTACATGTTGGACTGGTGTGCCACGTAGCCTTCTGCTGGCATCCTGGCACTACATTTGTTGCCAGGGTACCTCTTTTTCGATTTTGTCCACAGACACCACGCTCACACTCGGCATGTATACATGGAGCTGCAGGTCTTGAATACCCTTCCCTTTTGCTATGTTCACCATTGTAGGTATTATGGCCAGCCGTTACTTCCCGTTGAGAAAAGATCCCTGCAAGCGTACTTGACTGGCTGTATGCGTCTAATACGTCTGCAAGCAGCAACTGAAGTGGGTGAGTGCGAACTGGATGACTTACTGTAATGTCGTGTATGAAAGCCAGGTGTATTTCTGTAGAAACCGGTGTGGTGGCTAGGCCTCTATTTACATTATGTTGCATTATGTTTGTAGTCAAACCACACTTTTTATGGTTGCCGATGCAAAATCCACATTTTTTAGGACGTTTAGCAAAGCGAAAGTTCGAAAGAAAATTCGAGTCTGGGAATGAGTACAGAAAAAAAGCTCGAAACTTGGAAAACTTGGACGCGAAGTTGGAGTGATTTGCGAAAGTAACTTTTTCTTTTCTCAGTACGCATTTGACTACAGGGAGTAGTAATGTTACAGCCCCCTGCTTGAGACTGAGCTGCATATACGGTACGGTACTATAAGATTCAAATAACTTCGAGAAAAAGGCATCCCCTGATCATAGGTGCCAAAGACTACATTTCAGATCTAAAAAAAAAAAAAAAAAAAAAAGGCATTTCGCATTGCTAAACCTCACAAGTTTTCTTTTTCGAAACAGATTTTCGCGAAATATCACCACCACCAAAAGTTCGAATTTTCGCATTGCTAAACGTCCTTATCGAGCTAACTGCATATCTTGAAACACAGGCTTGTGTTCATTGTCACCATCCAGTATTGTCCACCCTCATGACCATAGCTTGGGGTGGATAGTCCTGTCCCCAGGGAAAATCGCGGAAAAAATCCCAGAATTTGCCGTGTAATTTGCAGGTAAATATGGCATAATTTGCGGTGAATTTGCGGTGAATATTATTGATATGCGGCACGTTTGCAGTTAATATGAGGCAGTTTTACCGGGGAGCAGGTCATGTGCCATGTGTATGCTAGGGAGCGCGCGCCCTACACGTAGACTCTCTACTTTACGTCAACGGCTCACAACGGTCAACCGAACAGTGCACTGTGTGTACGTGTAGCGCAGCAAAAAAGTTCAAAAAACACGGGAAAATCGCGGAAAACGTGGTCTTTTAAAAATCGCAAAAAACGCGGGGGAAAAACGCGGCCGCGGAATCGCGATTTTCCCCGGGGACAGATAGTCTGACGAACAGACGATAAGTCCTTTATTCTTAGTTTCTCGGTACTCTCCTCCACTGTACATTGGCCTGCTGTAGGTCAATTTGGTGGATAACTTTGACAGCTAGCTGTGTCCATGGACTTGCCCTTTACTACATCGTGTTTTGGGGTTGCATTCGTCCTCCAGGGTCGTGTGTGGGCACCTGGACAGAGCCCGGTGCAGAGCTTGGGTGGTACCCAACTGGCTCACATGAGCATGATGCCACCTTTCTTAGATTTGGGGTATGCAGTAGGAATGTGTGCCACTAGTCCCTCCTGCATCAGGGACAGTAGAGTTGGTAATGCTTGTAGTGGGAATGTTATGTGGAGGGTATTCGTCAAAGTAATAATAATAAAAAAAATTATGCCATTTTAGCAAATAATGTTGCTCCATTGTGTAACAGTTTGTCTGCTACTTATCATACTCCGTCAAGCATTTCATCTTCTGCATGGTATTGTTCTGCTTTGTCCGGTTTATTGCTGCCAGGTGCTGCACAATGTCAATGATCGATGCACGTAATCATTACCCACAGCAGTGGTGTCGGTCAGTGGTGTAACTACCTTCCTCAACAATCACCAGCTGCTGGCTTGTGACAGTTTTGACGAAAATTAATCGGTCTCTTTCATTCCGTTATCCCTTTGTCGACTCTGAGGAGATGCTCGACAACCATATAATTTGGTACTTCCCGTTTAGCCTAGTATTTGCAGTATTTGCTTCCTACACCAGCCACAGTGCTTTTCTTCCCACGTTCTTATTTTTCCGCTGGACGGTTTGGGATTATCTTTTGTGTTACATTCTTTCGTTTTCTGTTACATCCTTTTCCTGTTCTTGTGTGTTAACGTTTCAGTGGAATGGTGCAATGCATTTCCAACCAATGCAGTCATTCTTGTCTAAATTGGATTCAATTTAGACGATTACTTCTGATGTATTCTCAGTCGTATTGAGGACACATGGGTGGGTAAACCGCTTATACTAGTAGGGCGGTTCTCATCGGCAGCAGCAGGTACACTGGGACCCACGTGGAGATTGTGGGTGGTGTCCAACTAAGGCTGTACTCACACTACTTGAAAGTTTGACGCGAATGTCGCGTTCAAAACTAGACAAAAGTACTTGAAAAAGCCTTTCCAAGCACACTGCACTCCAGTGACGACTTGAAACATTTTTTGTCAGCAAATTACCATGGAGAAACATGATTGTCATGTGGTAGTTTTGCAAATCCCGAGGCTGCATTGCTTCAATTTTTTTGCGCTCGATGAACTTATTTGAAATTTTCAGTTCAGAGAAAAATAGAAACAGTTATATCTTGCTTGGATCGTGGAGTTCATTCGCCATGCCTCGCGAAGAAGTAGCACATTGTCGACGTCGACGGATGAAGAGGTTTCTCTCCACAGCTCGATGAGCTTCTTCTCCAAGTCGTCAGAAAACACTACGCGAGGCATGATGTCGGTACAAAAGCAATGGTACAAAAGAAATGCGACAGAAACGGCAATCAAAACAACGGGAAGCTACTGGAAGAAAGAAGACGGAAAATACTCGGAAAAACACCACAGAATTCAGAAATGACAGGCAAAAAAAGGAAACTACAAGTATATGTACAGGAGCAGTACGACCACGAGGAAACAAAGCATGAAAAATATTCTGGAGCCTTTCAACGTACAATAGGAGTACTATTGTACGTTGAAAGGCTCCAGAATATTTTTCATGCTTTGTTTCCTCGTGGTCGTACTGCTCCTATCCGGCCTCCTGACCTCACACAGCTTTCCAAACGGCTTGAAAGCAAAAAAAACCCGTAGAAGAGGGTTCCGTTTCCGCTGAAACCTTTCAAGCGGCTTTCAAGGGCTTTTTTCATTTTCGCAACCGTCACCGTGGCAACATTCACACGTAAGTCACTTGTATGCGGTTTTTCAAGTAGTGTGAGTACAGCCGAAAGCTTTCGTGCTTTGGCCTATGCCAAGGGCATGATACGTACCCTGTGCATGGAAAGACGACGAAAATCAGCAGCTTTGCAAATGCACCTCTACAGCCCGTTTACGCAGTGACACACATTGTGGCTGTTTTTGATCCGTTAGTACACTATGTTTGCTGCCGCAGACATGTGTCAGTGTTGTCCGGTGCTACTGCTAACTCAAATGGCACGAAATGACAGGTTTCTCGTCGCTCGTCAATGGCTGAAGCCTTTCTTCTTACAAACCCGCCCGCCATGCGAACGGTTTAGCAAAACCACCACCCTCGCTCATGCAAACACTAGGGCACACATATAGTATCAACGGAAAATGTACAACAATGCCTCTGAATACTCTTCTTTTTGAGAAAATTGGCATTGACTGCCCGACTGTCGATAAAAAATACGTCTCAATAATGCAGCTGTTTGCATTTGAATTTTCCCGCGCTTTGGCATTTGGGATAATAAAACTACCTCTAAACGTCGACTTTTCGCAAAACGGCACATCGCCTGTGACCATGTAGGTCGAAGACGAGTGAAATGATGCTGAAATCACATTCTTACATGACACGTGATCGTTGCGGGGGCAATGGCCAATAGGCGATCTTATGCCTTCGACCTTTCCACCTTTGACCTTCCCTAATATGTTGCTTCACGCTGTAAGAAATCAAATCAAGCACGCTCTTTCTGTGATGATGGCTGAATCTTGCCCTTCCTTGGAGCCCTCGGGCCTACGGCCCTTGGGCTGCAGGCTCGGGCAAGATTCAGCCATCATGACCTCCTGGCCTGAGCGTGCTTGATTACATACTTCTTTCTAACGTAAGAAATCTCTAATGCAGTTCACGCGACAAGTGCGTGCAGCCAGTGCTGCTCGCGTGCCAGTCAACACAAAGGGACCAAGCTAGCCGCTTTTGTCGAGCATCGACATGAAAACAAGGGACATTTACTGTTGGACTATGTTCGGGATTGCAGGAGGTAAGTGTGAAAGACGAATAACTCTCCATGCTGTACGGGGCATATTTCAACGGCTTGCTGCCATTGCAACACTCCTAGGACAGTTTGCATGGTTTGTGGGGGTTCTCAGCAGTTCAAGCAGGAAATGAAGCTCATCTTACCTCTGCCATCATGGTCTGTTCCGAGTAGCGTTCCAGGCACATTCGCGATCGATGGCCGCGTATCGTGATGCAGGAAGCGTCATCCTACGTCACAGAGCACGCGATCTCACCGTGCATCTTGCAATAAAATTCAAAAACTGCGCTCAGGCTTTCAGTCACTTTTGCATAAACAGTCGCACAAAAAAGTATTGGTGGCGCAAGGAGAAGCTTGTCGTTTGGAGCGACAAGTGATCACCGCTGCTTTTCCTTGTCTGAATTTTTGCGTGTAGTTTTTGGATTTTACTGCAAGAGGCATGATGAAATCACGTGCTTCGTGACACAAGAATGCCAGGTCTCGTAGATCACGGTTCAGCAGTTCTTCCGAGTTGCCTTGATCAAGCGCACCTGCACTTACATGGATCACCCATTGATCTAGATCGGATCAAGTGCATCTTGATGTCCAGCTCAAGAGCACACATGTCGTGTTGTAGGCCTACCAGCCTGGACTTTCCCTCAACATGCAGCACACAGACTAGGGCGAGGAGGGTGATGCCGATCAAGTGCATCTTGATGTCCAGCTCAAGAGCACACATTTTTTTTTTTTTTTTTTTTTTATTGAAAAACCACAAACCTTCAGACATGTGAATGTGCACATGATATACAGTGTACATACGTATGTATCGAGAAGGCAGCACGGAAACGGCAGTGGTGGTGAGGCCTGGGCAGCTCGTCCGACCGTGGGTCTCGGAGTCAACACTGGGCAGACGCACCGGGGGGGGGGGGGGGGGGTGGTAGCTTAGGAGATAAGGGATGAAGCCAGCATGATCATAGTATGTAATGCATATGCAGAAGTAATAATGATGTTAATCTTAAAAACAATAGTGCGGTCGCCCTGCGCAGAGGAACGGCATCATGGACATGATCGACGTGTATTACAAAATAATAATAATTATTATAAGTGACCTAGGGCACATCATACACACACATATGCGCATGTTCAAATAGGAGATCAACCTGATAGGGCGTTCGCCGGCGTTGGGTAATCTTGAAATAAGGATATTAATATTATTGAAGAGATTTTTATCATACGCTCACATAAACACCACATACCACCCATGTGCATCCACCCACACACACACACACACGCGCACCCCCACACACACATGCTTGCACGCACGCACACACATACACACACACACACACACACACACTCACACACATACACACACACCACACACTTGTACTTGTACTTGTACTTGTTGCTCACTGCCAAAACTGGTCACGTGGGTCTCCCCGGGAGAGGGGAGAGAGACTCAAAAGGAATCTTGGAAAGATGACTCAATTGGCCATTGAACCACCCAACGACCGACACCCCCTGAAATCCCCAAACTAGGGTGGACTTGAAATGATCCCACTTATGGGCTCACCACACCTCAGTAAGTGGGTGAGGACAAGGTGCAGAAAAGGATTGACGGCATCAGGGTATCCGTCCCGGGATCCAACTGCAGGTACCCCTGCCCCCAGTGAAGGTAATACTTGGTACTAGTGTCGGTGGCTAAATCAGAGTGGATCTGATATAATCTTCACTAGCACCATTGATTACACAAGAGTTAATCTAGCCAGAAGCAGTCCATGGTTAACAGGTATGTATACTTCAAACAGAAAGTATATGAACCCTGAAACCAACAAAGGTGGTAGGTACAACAATACACCTTCAAGCAGCCGAGCCCGTTGGCAACAGGCCCAACACTATCTGGCACAAGTGCACCCACCAACCGAACTAGCTGGCACCACACACACACACACACACACACGCACACACATACACACAAACAACACACACACCACACACACACACACACACACACACACGTACACACAGACACACACGTGCACATTCACGCAGATGCGTAATCATACATAATATTTGTGCACAGACTCACTCTCTCACAGTAACGTCCAGAAAACCACCACGCCGAGTCCCTACAGCCGGTCGGTCGCCCAGTCCCAGTGGCTCGAGCGCAGGAATCGGTGGACGCTGCACTTGAAGGACTGCAACTTCTTCTGGTCGGGCTGATCCAGGAGGTGTTGGCGAGGCAACTGGTTCCAGGTGTCCAGCACTCCTTCAGGGAACGACCGGCGGACGTTGTTGCGAGAATTGGCTGGGATATCAGACTGCAGCTGGTAGCGGTGGCCGGCCGCCACCCGCGCCTGCTGCCTGGTGTTGGCAGGATGTTGGTCGTGGTCTGGTACTGCTTGGGAGGGGGGCAGCATTCGGGTTAGCATCTGTGGGCCTGTCAGGTAGTGGATTTTGTAGAGATAGCAGAGAGCAGCCACTTTGCGCCGGAGTTCGAGGCTTGGCAGATATGCGCCTTCGTCGATCAGATGCAGGGCTCTCCGCTGTACAGCATCGAGTTGGGCCAGCACCGTCTGAGAAGCACCCATCCAGACTAGCATGCCATGCTCTAAGACTGGGCGAACAAAGCCGTTGTAGACCGTGAGACGGCAGCCAGGGTCAAGCACTGCTGAGGCCTTCTTCAGGAAGCCCAGTCGCTGTGTGGCGCGCAGGGCTGACTGTCGAATCTGCTGGCAGAATGTCAGTTGACTGTCGAAGGCTATCCCAAGTAGCTTCAGGCACTGGGTTTCAGGAACCATTTCACCTTGGAATGTGACCGGAGGGCAGTCCCAGGGCCGACGGTGGTGGCTGACGTGGAGTAGGTATGACTTGGCGGGCTCGAATGTCACTCGCCAGGTCGCACCCCAGGCAGCAAGGGCATTGACGGCGGTCTGGAGATCATCACAGTCAGCTGCGAGGTTGCCGAGATACCGGATACACTTG